AAGCCGCTGAGTTGTGAGCCAGCCTTAAGTTCTGTTGTCCCTTTTCTTCCACCCAGTCACAGTTTTTGTGGCTGTCTGCCCCACAGTGACCTTCACAACGTCCCCACTCCCACTCCTGGCGTCTCGCCGTCACGTGTGGTGCAGGAAAATGCAACCGGTGGGGCTGGTGCAGGGAGAACAGCATTGGTGTTCCCTTAGAGAGGAAGACTGAAGGAAGCTTAAAAAAGACAGGGGGAGGAGAGGAACAACGTCGTCTTTGTCCTGCACACAATAAACAAAGAATAATGCTCTGACAGTGAGGGAAAATTCAAGAGAAACGGGGACACTCAGCCCACAGTGCTGCCTGGCAGTCTCCGTAGCGGGCAATTTGGAGCTGGCAGAACAGAAGGGGAAAAAAGGGGACTGAAGAGGTGATATTTTTGTTATTTTGCAGATAGATCCCGTCCAGGCTCAGCTCCTAACGACACGGTCCGCGCAGAGTCCTCACCGGGCTGTGCAGGAGCACTGCTGAGGGCTTTTGATGCCCACAGCCTGGTGAGGCTGCAGGATGCAGCAGGCCCCGGTGCTGCTGGCACTTGTTGAGCCCAGGTATAGAAGTCTCAGCCCCACTGTGGGGACAAAGACCCACTTTGCACCACACCATGGAAAAAAACAGAGCAAGTGGGAGAGCCGCCCCCCTCCACAGTAAACTTCTAAAACCAGAAGTGACTCACTGTTGAGATGGGATTGCTGCTCTCTGTGAGTAGAATTCGGCAGTGTTTTGGCCTCTGCTTTAAAAGGTTTTCCCAGAAGCAGAACCTGTGTGATGAAAATTCAGCAGGCTCTTCTGGCAAGATAATGCACCGGGTCCCAGCACAACCACCTCCAGCAGCCTCCTCCTGATCACCTCCTGGCTCCCCAGAGATGAGTTTAGAAACTGGGATAAAGAAGAGTCCCTGGTCTTCTTTACTTTTGGCTGCCAAAAACACACTGTTGCCAACATAAGGCTTTGCCTACAGTAGGCATCACCGCTAGGTCTGGCTTCAGTTTCCTCTGCCATCGCTTTTCACTTCATCTTTTTTGTTTTACATTTTTCCTTATTTTGCCCTAGGATGACCCAAGCAGACCTACCTGCCAGTACCCCAGCAGTTGGTCCTTGCAGAGTTGGCCTGAGATGAGTTTAAACCAGGCCCTCTGCCTTTGGCAGGGTATTAGGCAGGCAAGCAGCAGCTCCCAAAAACATGGCCTCTGCCCCACTGGGCATCTTTCTCTTGGGACAACACCATCTATTTTTTTCCTGACTGTCCCCTGGATTCCGCAGCTCAGCACAGAGCCTGCCTCATCCCACCCAATGCTTGCAGCAAGAGTGTCTTGCAGGATGAACATGGAAAACTAAGAAGAAATCCAAGACCTGAGATTAGGTTTAGGAGGAGGATTTCACTCAAAGAGGCAGAAAGACCCAGTAATGCTAGCTGCATTTCAATGGCCTCTTTATAGCAGTTTTAATCTTTTTTCTGTAGTTTACTTAACTGCATGCTCCCTGTTGACCTGCTGCAAACAATGTGGAGCACCATGGACACCGGTTTCCCTGCCAGCCCAGCAGGTCCTTGCAGGAGGACTGGGAACAGCAACGGCCCGGGTAGGGATTTTGTCCCTGGATTTTGTTCCTGCTGTCCCCTGGATCCACCTCTGCAGTGAGAACTTGAAATGCAATGCAGAACAGTGATAAAACCCACCAAACAGCAGCACACCAGTCCCGTGGACTTTGGGAGTTACAGTGCACGTGAAAAAGCCCCAGATTCAGAAGCCTGGTTTTTGGCTTGTAGAAAGTCAGTACTAGGGAATGGTGACCACAGGTTGGGCAGTCTCTCTCCTCCATAGCACATATACATATGAGACCTGACTGTCAATGGCTGATCGTGCTGCAGTTATGCCAAGGTTCTGATACATACTGGATGATATGTAATGTGGTTAACAAATGGCCTCAGTGAGTGAGCAGCACACCTGGGCCAGATCCTAGGAAAACAGGACAAAGTACACTGCCATGCACTGTCCACACCTCCCCACTCCAGACATCTCCAATCCACTGCCCACATGTCTCATGCAGCCCAACTTACAGCAAAAAGTTGTGTGCATTTTGGTTCATTGGCTGAACACAGTCCTGTAAGCAGCAGAAAATACACTGCCATGCTTCCCCTTTTTGATAAAGGAATTTGAGAACATGCTTCAAGATTGCTGGAAAAAAATCCTCATTTTTTGGTCTGCTTGCAACTCCATCTTCAGTCAGCATAAATACATGACCTGGAGATCTTCAAATGGAGTGCAAAGAGTTGTGATCAGATACTCAACTGAAAAATCCAACCAGGCCTCTTTCAGAAGCCTCATCTTACCAGAGAAGAACATCCTTCCCTTCACGGTCACACTTTATTCATGTCATCACTTTTTGGTAGTGTGTACATTTGTGACCAACTATTTTCAAGGATGATGCTTGGGAATAGTAAAATTTCATCAAAAATATCTGATAAATAGTCTGAGAGCTCACTAAGATCTGCAGGCACTGCCATGGAACCAGGGATTGATGCATTAGCTTCATGAAAACAGGGCAACATATCCCACTAGTTCTGTGTTTTTGTTTTTGTTTTTGTTTTTTAATAAAAGGCATGAAAGATTCAATGTTTAATTTCTTGTACACATAAACTATATATTTTATGAGGGCTGCTCTGAAAGTAACGCCTCCTGTTTAATAATATTGGCCCATGATGTCAGAAGTATCAGAATCAGTGCCATATCAGTGTTACAGCAGCAGTGGCTAAACTTTCCCACCAGTATTTCATTACATGTTGTTGCCATGCGACAGATGGCAGCAGAGGGGCAGATAGAATGGCATCTGACATGGAAGTGTGTCTGACACAAAGGTGTGTCGTTGAGTTCCTCCATGTGAAAAAAATGGCACCCACTGACATTCAGTGAAGCCTGTGTAACATTTATGGAGATCAGTCAGTGGACATAAGCACAGTGAGGCAGTGGATTGTGCATTTCAGCAGTGGCGTCAGCAACAGCGGGTCAACTCTGCCAGTACACATTTTTATGTGTGACATGCAGGTTCTTGTTCATCCCTAGCAAAAGTGCATAGCTAATGATGGAGTGTTGCAAAATAGTGCTTTGTAGCTGAGAGTTTGCTCTATCAAACATTCTTATTGTGTATGCCTTATCAATTGCAGTTTCTGCGGAAATAAATAGAAGGCATTACTTTCAGAGCAACTTTTGTTCATGCAGCCTGTGATGATTTCTCTTCATTCAGTGTGGTCCAGGCCAGCAAAGAGGTTGGAGTCCATGCCCCAGGTTCTGAGTCCCCATGCCAGGTCAGATGTTCCCAAGGTCCTGCCGCCTGCTTTATGCTCAGCCCACTGAGCAGAAGCTCCTGTTCCCAAATCAAGCCTGGGAGAATCGCCAGACTTCACTGAGGAGACTGCAAATGTGTGAGCAGGGATGCTCCCCATCTGGAAGCTTTTCAGACACTCTATAAGAGAACTCAGAAAGGATCTTTTTTTTCTTTAGAGGAACCAAACATCACAGCATCTGTGCTATCTGCACCCTCACACACACTCCTCGTGATGCTGCACAGCTGTATTGCCCATGCTTTGCTCTCTGCTGTGGTGGGGTGCTGCTGCTAGTGCCAAATTCCCATGCAGTGATACATGCAGTTGAAAAGAGGCATTTAGAGAGTTGTAGTTTGCTGCTTTTTCTTCCCCACAACACCAGAAATATTTCTTACCCACTCCCCCTTCTCACTTTTCAAAGAGCAGCTTTTGTTCTGAGAAGCGCTGCCTTGTACCTAGCATTCTATACCCTGCAACAAATCATCTCAAAAATGGACACCTCACACGCCAGATGTCTGCCTTGGAGCTGCTCTCCTATGGCGAAAGTGAAAGGGGATGGAGGGGCACACGTGGCAGAGCAGAGTGATGCTGTCAACACACCATTCTCCAGGATAGGGGGTGTGGCCAAATCTTGCTGCCCTTTGCCAGGATGGTCAGGTCACTGCTGCTTGGGAAAACCCCAATGCACATAAAACACAGCTCTTTCCTCTCCAGCGGCTGGCAAGCCTGCTGTCTCCACAGATTTTCCTTTTCACTCAATTTCAAATTTCTCTTTTAAATCCTATTGCATCAAATTCCTTTTACTTTCAGTTTGAAGACATGTCCTATCATACACTTCAGTGACACTTAGTTCATGCATTATCCTGATTTTTGCTGACCATATACAGGCTTCTGTCTCCCTGTGGGGATCCTCAAATGTGAAAACCTTTGTTCCTCCTGGGCGGAAAGCTATGTGTGCCCCTCTGCCATCCACCTATTTCCTCTGCAGCTTTTCTGCAGTGTGTTTTGAACAGGGGAACACAGGTGAATATGCTAAGTATGAATTATATGTTTTAGCAATCAGAGTCTCTGTTTCAGCATGCAGAATGACTGGGGTCTCCTGGGCAGCTATTCCACACACTCAGATCTAGAACCAACTACTATTTGTTCTCTCCATTCTGCAGCTCAGCTGCTCAAGGACAGGTTTATATGGGACAAGTCTCAGGAACATTACAAGGAGTATCTTGGGCACAGTAAAAAGCAGCCAAAAGACCTGGCTGCCCGTTGCCCTCGCCACATTGCATCATTTCAGCACAGTACAACTAAGAGGAGCCAGCAGGGAACTTCGTGCATCTCTCATACCTCTGCCCCCTGACATCTTGGGGCTCTTCTTCAGCTAAAGAGTTAAGAGAACCCAAAATTTCTGAACTATGAAATTTTGGAATGTTTCCTTACTGTCTCAACAGCACTCAGTTTGCCTTCTTAAATTACAGTTTGGCAATCAAGGTTGCACAAGTGTTGGTCCAGTGCCTAGAAATTATTTTATTTTAAGAGGATTGTGACCTACTGAGGTATCTTGCACATTCCTTTTTGTCATTTTTTAGGATCAAAAATTGTGCCTCAAAACACGACAGCAGGAAGAGTTTGATCTTTTTTCTCCTAAACTTTTAATCTGGATAGGCAGAAAAACTTCATAATGTACAATTTTAAGCTGTCAAAATTTACAAAACAAAACAGAACAAAAAAAGATTTAAAGCTGATTATAGTTCACAAATATCCCCAACAAAAACTGCGTAACATCGATCCTTCTGTATAACCAACTGAAACCACAGGTCACTTTGCTGTTTTTTTGGAAAGTGTGCAAAGAGCTAAATGTATAGTACACTTAAATGTTAAAAGTTATACCACATAAGCAGGTCTGCTGCTGCTATAAAAAATATCAAAGTATAAAATTACTTCTACAAAATCGGTCCATTGATTTTTGTTGCTTGTAGTAAAAAAAGTAGACTTTAAGAACTTTCTCCTCAACAAACAACATTTTTAACCAATTACTGCAGGCATTATTTACACAGGTGAAACATAATTTAGCTAAATCAGAGAGCAATAAGAACTACTTATACAGAGACATACATTTGAATGCATAGATACATTTCTGCTTGTGTTTCTGTTGCACAACATAGTTGTTGTACCACTGCAAGATGGAATGAATGCAGGTGTTTAATGACTGCTCTTTCTGACATAAAAAAGACACCTAAGGACCACAACACAGCCACTGAGCTACTTACAACATCACACAGTTCTTTGCTGTTTGCACCAACACACGATCTTTAGCACTCACTAGACATGCAGGGGGAAAAGGGATGGCTCCTATACAAAATACTCAGTTTGGTCTGGTCTGCTGAGGAAAGGAGAGGGAAAATGTTTTTTAGGGTATCCCCTTTGGCTCTGTCATCTTCCCGGATGGCAACAGTGGTCCAGCTGTGGAGGGCTGCAGCAAGATGGCTTTCAGCTGCACACACAAGCACAGGACGGGTCCTCACCACCCGGGCTCTTCTCTTGTCACTTAGTCCCACAGGTGTTGATGTTCTTCCCATCGGCTGCATCCTCCACCAGAGAGATATGATAGTCAGTTGACAGTGTGAGGTGTGAGATGCAGCCCACCAGCCCCCGCAGGTACTGCCTGTTGGTGTGCAGGGCTATCTCCTTCATGCCTCCTGTGGGAAAGAGGTGAATTTTAATATATGTACTCTGTTTTTAGAACTAGCTTTGGACAGTCAAAGGGGATAAACAGAAGAGAGTGGACTAGGATTCTGATTATTGCAGAAATTGTAGCACTAGTAAGCTCTGAGAAAGCTTGGTGCCTAGGCTCCCAGTAACACACAGTGCTTTTCCCTTAATTATCCCCCGGTGTACTGCAGTGTAACCTTTGGTGCTTATCCCCTCTCCTACAGCAGTATCCCCTGGTGAGGCCTCCCCCAGAAGCCAGAGGAGGACCAAAGGCCAAGGCATGGAGCCTTCACCTTATGGAAAATGGGACTAAGATGCATTGGCTTGCAGCTGTCCTCACAAGCAGAAAAACACAGCCATGTGCTGAACACAAATGATGATCACTCACCTACATAGAGATCTCCATTGATGTTTAGCTGCCTCATTTTTCCAGGGGATTTACCAGTCCTGGCTCCATAATCGTCCACAGTTACCTTGCCAGACTGCCCATCTCTGAAATGCAAAGCAAGCAGCTCTCATGTATCCAGCTTACATCCAAGCAGGGGGAGCAGCAGCATCTCCTCCATCCAGGAGACCAGGACAACCCAAATTCTGAACTCAACATCCATCCACAAGGGAGTGGATTCTGGGTGCCCCACAGGTAGCACTGGGCTGCATCGATCCTGACCCTTTGGGATTATGTTTTCCATGGACATGCAATTATGGGGACACATTTCTGGGGGAAAAACAGACTGGAGAAGTTAATTGCACAGCTCAGGAGGAGGAGAGAATGGGCATGTGCTGACAGGCATTTTAAAATGAGATACATAAAACTAAACTGCAGAAGCTTAGACAAGAAGAGGGGGAAACGATAATCCAAGATATTTTTGGAAGGCCCATTACATACTCAAAAGACTTCTTTCTTGCTTGAGCTCTTAGGCTGCTTCCATCTTACAGACGGTCAGTAACCTGACTGACAGAGGAGCCACTTGGAAGGCCTTACTCCTCACTTCGGTAACAAAATATACTAACATCGTTCTGTGACTTCCATGGAGCCGACATCTCATGAGGCGAGAGATGTGTGCTTTTTCTGCTGGGCCTGATGGCTTCCCATGAGGTAATGAGCTATAAATATGAGTTATATATACACTGTGAGATGTCTGCGCCTCCCTCAGACAGAAAAAGTAGGCATACATGGTCTGTGCTCCAGACATTGTGCCAGCCCACAAAGTGCTCACTGGGGAATTTCAAAATGCAGACATGAAAGAGAGATGCAAGAAACCCATATGGCATGAGCTGAAGAGAGAGCCTGTCACTACTGGGGAGCAGACTGCCTGAGGCTGTGCTGGTCTCGGAGCTGGCACTGCCACCTCTTGTACAAAGATCTCCACGTACGCCCTTCTGCTACAGCCAAACTGCTCACAACTTAGCTAAGCAGTGTTGAGAGAGCACAGGGTGCAGTGGCTCACACCCAGATGGCAGCCCCATGGCAGGAGGTCTCCCAGGGCCTCTGTGGCAGCACGCAGCCACTCACCTAACAGCCTTGACCCGGTGCCATCGGCCATCACCAAAGGAGCCGTTCACCACTATGGAAGCAACGCCACTGCCTAAGTTGTAGCTGAAATGAAAAAAAACCAAAATGTAAAACGTTACTGCTTCCTCCACGAGAACTGGCTTCTTGTCATTATGACAGAATACCCTTGCTCTGTGCCTCATGCGCCTGCTCAGCTCCCAGAGCCTCCTTCCTTAGATTTTGGAGTGTGTCAGTAGCTTCCTTCAAACGCCAGGAGTGATGTAGTTTTTTTGCAAAGTCAAGATCATAGAATAATATAAAAAATTTGCTCCTAACCTGTCTCATATGAGAGAGGATACCAACACCAGCAGCCCAGGAGGCAAGGAGAGGGCTTCTGCATGGCAGCTCTTCTGAGCACCAGGAGGCTGCAAAGGTCAGTGATCTACAGAACTTTGGCATAAGAGCAGAGATGAATGGGAGGATGCACACGTGACTGATAAACTATTACCATACAATAAAACATGCAGCTTACAGCAGGCTCACAAATCATCTGAATTATAGGGAAGGTTGAGTCCTGTCATGCCAGAAAAGGTGAAGCCTACTGATGTAAAGGTAGAGATGCTAATGAACTTCTCTGTTTCACTTGCAGCTCTGAGTATTTCTTTGCATTTGCTGCTAGTGAAATTACTCAGCAGATATTGCCATCATATTTACACTTAAAGCATCTTAATTTCTCAGCTCCAAATACCTAAACCTACTTTCACGAACGGAGATGATGATGCAGCACTGAGCAACTGGGTGTTCTGCTGCCTGAATAGTCTGACCCCCAGCTGCTGATCAACGGCCTTCTGCCTGTATTGACTTGGGAGGCTAAAGCCAACATCATTAAATATTCAGATAAGGTTGATCCTGGAACGAAGTTCAAGGCCAGAGTTAAGCACTTGAGAAAAGAGTATTATGCCAAGCACTGCCCACAGCAAAGCAGTCAACCTAAATTTGACTACTCACAAAGAATTGAGCGTGTCTCAAACAAGTATCTCCTCTCATCCTGCAGACAGAGGAGGAGTGCTGCAGGAAGATACAGCTGTTGCTAAGCTCAGCTTTATAACTCAGTGTTATACTCTTAGTTACAAAATGAGATTAATATCCCTGATGAACAGAGATTCTCTGAAACAGAGGTATAACCTACTGAAACACAGAAGAACAGAGAGAGTTTACAGCACTGAACAGGGAACCCATCCCTTTTGGGTGGGGAAAAAAAAAGATTATTTGAATTTCAAACCAGAACACAGACATCTAACTTTGTGCTTTCTTACCAAATGAAGCCTATGATTTTCTTCTGACCTAATCTGTCATGAGCTGCTCTTTTCAAGAGTAGAATGAGGCTTACTTGCTGTGAAAGATGATACATTTTTTATACATTTGTCCTCTCATAATCTCCAGTGCTCACTTTAATTATGCAGTGATGGTTTGCATGAATTTCAATCTGAGATCTTAATTTTAATCTTTCCTAAATGTATAAGTACAGTTGTCTCAGTAAAACAAAACAAAACAATAGCTTCAGTGTAAAATCTTTGTGTTTCTTTACGCTGAGAAAACAGGCATAACAGATCGGCCACTTACTAACCAGCATCTTGGAAAGACAGGCTCTCCCAAAGACATAAAATGCACCACTTTTGCAGATTCAATTCCTAATTTATTAAACAATGAGGTAGCTAAGAGTTATTAAATGGTTAACCACAGGAAACCACAAGATAATATCTTTAAATAAATTAATTTAAATAGAAATACGCATCTCTGTTTGCGTATCTGTGGTTGTGAAGAACAATCAGGGAAGTCAAGTAAAAGGTAGTTCCAAATTAGGTTAAATGGTTAACAAAATATTTGTAATTTAATCAACAGTCATTCATAATAATCCATAACAACAATGAAATTTGTAGTTTGCTGTTTCAGTATTTGTCTTACACAATCTTAAAGTGGCTCACGTGGAAAGATGCAGCTTTCAAAAGCAGGAGTCACAAAAAGCGCCGTGCACAAACTTGCACTGAGTCTGCCTAAGTGTGTGGGAGGGAGAAAGTAATTCTGAAGAGCCAGCAGACATCTTCAGTCAATTCCCAGTACTCCCTGGTTTCAGCTTTTTGATGATAATATTACTCAATTCTTAAACAAGTGGTTTTGTCGGTAGTGTCAGTTACAAAGAGTCTGATGAAAACTGAGTCTACTGTAAGCACAGGCACTAGCAAGGGTTTGTTTCTTTGACCTGTTTTGTTTGCAAGCCCTGCATCTTTCTACTTAACTGAAATAGCAAATACTTCAATAGACATGGGGGGGAGTTACATTACTTTTACCACCACAGGATGACTTTCAATACTTAAAAGATGATGCTCTAAGAATGGGTAAGAAGAGAGGAAGAATGACTGCTGTGAAGCTGGCCTAGACAAGAACTGGACTATCTTTGAACAAACCATGAAATCTGAATTGTCCCACAACGTACCAAAGGACAAGTGCACCGGATATGCAGTGGAGATTCTTTTGAGCATGAAGTGCATTGTCTGCCAAAAAAAACAAGGAAGTGATAGTTTACCTGAATATTAATGCTCCTTCTTGAAGGCCAAGAGAAACGAAATCACTATTAGGTCGCATAGGACTGTCTCCTCTCCACATCAAAAGACCTTCCTTCATGGTGGTTTTAAACCTCATGAAAACATTTGTTCTTGATCCTGATACCCTGTTTAATGTAAAATAAGAAAATAATAGTAAACATTGAATAGTGCAGTCCTCTTTCAATCAGACCTAAAAGACAATACAGTATTCCTTCTTCACTGATCTTGCTCATTTCTGTTTAGTAACTTGCCCATGTAGTAATTTATGAGACACTGTGGTTCACAGGCCCGTTTCCAACATTTTGGGGTGAAGGAATTGAGCTTGGTTCTCCAGAATCCCAAACACTAATTTATACTACACAAAGAAGAGAAAATACTTTCTGTCCCCACATCATGTGAGCTGCACTCTAACAAGCAGACTTTGAGAAGGTCTAATAAGTTTAGCGAACTGGAGGGTGAGAGGTACTGAGCTGCAAGTGAGAATATTTGGGAAGCCTCCAGCCAATGGCTGAAATACAGGCAAGTATTTGCTGAAATAAATTTTGCAGACTGAGCATCTTTTAGGGTAGAGAGCAGGCAAAAAAAAGAAAAAGAAAAAGGAAAAGAAAAAGGAAGAAAGGAAGAAAGGAAGAAAGGAAGAAAGGAAGAAAGGAAGAAGGAAAGAAGGAAAGAAGGAAAGAAAGAAGGAAAGAAGG